GGGGAGGGGGCCGCTGGCCGCGCCGAGGGTTGGGGCGCTCGTCAGGGCGCGCGAGCTCCAGGCCCGAGAGCGGGCAGTTACGAGGTGCCCCCGCCCTGGCGGCCTGGCTTCACGTTCACGGCGCGGCCGTCGCGGGCTCCGGCCCTGCCTCCCCCGCTGGGGGATGCGTGGGTCTTGCTGGAAGATGGGTGGTGTCCGTGTCGCTCTGGCGCTTCCTTCATCGCCTCGACTTCCTCTTCCAGTGGCGGCTCCCTCCTCACAACCGTCCGCCGTCACCTCCTCCTCCTTCTCCTCCTCCTCCTCCTTATCCTCCTCCTTATCCTCCTCCTCATCCTCCTCCTCATCCTTCCTCCTCCTCCTTCACCTCATGATCATTCCTCCTCCTCCTACTCCTCCTCCTACTCCTCCTCCTCAGCATCATCAGCATCATCAGCATCATCATCATCATCATCATCATCATCATCATCATCATCATCAGCATCATCATCATCATCGTCATCATCATCAACCTCAGCATCATCAGCATCAGCATCATGATCAACCTCATCAGCATCAGCATCAGCATCATCATCAACATCAGCATCATCATCATCAGCAGCATCATCATCCTTATCGTCATCAGCATCATCGTCAACAGCATCATCATCATCAGCATCATCATCATCATCATCCCCATCTTCATCTTCATCATCAGCATCCATCAGCAGGTTCAACATCAACATCATCAGAATCCACACTATCAATTCATAATCAGCTTCATCATCATCACCCTCATCATCATCGTCATCTGTATCGGCATCAAATGATCATCGACACCATCAGCAGCATAACTATCAGCATCACGACCATCATCATCATCACCGTCATCATCAGCATCATCATCATCAGCAGCATCATCATCGCCGTTGTCATCATCATGATCATCATCGTCATTATCGTCGTCATTGACATTGGCATGACCTCGTCCTCTTCATTGTCGTCGTCGTCGGCATCGTAATCGTAATCGCCATCGTAGTCGTCCTCGTCTTCGTCATCGTCATCTTCATCAGCAGCAGCATCACCACCGTCATCATCATCATTGTAATCAGCATCACCACCATCATCATCAACATCAGCATCACCATCATGAGCATCATCAGCATCATCAACGTCATCAGCTTCACCATCATGATCATGGTCATACGTAGCAATGTCACCACCACCACCGGCATCACCACCTCCACCACCATCGTCGTATCCGCTATTATCAATATCAAAATCATCATCGTCGTCATTATCATTATCATCATCGTCATCAACATCAACATCATTGTCATCACCATCACCATCACTATCATCACCATCATCATCATCACCATCATCATCAGAACCACCATTATCGTTATCAGCATCATCATAATCAGCATCATCAGCAGCAACATCACCATGATCATCATCATCATCATCATCATCATCATCATCATCATCATCGTCATCATCATCCTAATCATCACCACCACTGGCATCACCATCATCATCAGCATCATCAGCAGCATCATCATCAGCATCATCATTAGCATCATCAGCATCATCCTAATACTATCCTCGTCCTTCTTCCCCTCATCCCAATCCTCAGCATCATTCTCATCCTCATCCTCATCCTCATCGTCATAAGCATCCCCACCCACATCCTCACCCCATTCTGCCCGCCCCCGAGCGCGAATGCAGCAACGACGCAATCATGTTTGTATCGTTCCAGCAAGTGCCCCCCTCCTTCCACAAAACCCATGTCGCCCAACTCCCTGCATGAAGGTCGCGGCTTCCCCAACGCAGAGGGCTGCTCATTCCGTGAAATGCATGTCCGCGCCAGAACGGTTGAATCCCGAAGCGCCCTCGGCTCACCGGCGAGGCGCGACCGCTGCACATGGTCACTGCGCCCCCGAGCCTCCTGGAGGCCTTGGAGGGCCATCCTTCTGCACGCCTGACGCGGGAAGAGCAGGCATTCGCACGGCGCCCAGCAGCACATCCAACGTCGGCCGCTGTTGGGCGAGCGCCTCCCGCTGCAAGCGGACAGCGCGTGCTGTCCGTCGCAGCCTGGAGCTGCTATCCGACTTCGCCCCCGGTCTTTCCGCCGTCTTTCCGCCTCAGTGTCGCCCCTCCTGAGCCCTTCAGCGTGCTTCGGCGGTTCACAGATGGGGCCCCGATGGATGGGGGCCTAAGTGCAAGAAGGGATCCGAGGGTGGATTTACATTGTGTGAGGCACCTCGTCCTCATTGGCCCCCTCCCTCCGCACCCCAGGCTTGCATCCCCCAGTGCCGCACCTCCCTCGTGGCAACGGGCCGCGGGCCGGCAGGTGGCCTGACGGAGAGCTCGTCGATGCTGTCCTCGGCCAGCGCGCCCCGGATCCGCCCCTGCCTGCTGCCCCCTTGCAGAATGCAGCCCCGCAAGTTTGACCAGCGCGTCGGATCCAAACTACGACTGCTCGCGCGGCCCCTCGGCGTCTCTGCACGGTGCTCTTCACGCCAGCTCAGACAGCCGCTGGCTGATGCGACAAACCGGCGCATCCTCTCTCTCTCTCTCTGTCTATCTCACCTCCCCAGCCATGCTCGATCTGTAGCCTGCGCTCATCGTCTGGCCGTAATCTTGTTTTATCGCCGCACCGGGCCGGCCGATGATCTAGGAGGGGAGCCCGCGATGGCCTCAGGAGCGGCACTCCCCATGCAAGCGGTGGCCGACTCTATTGAATCCCTGGACACGACAACACCGGCGTCTCGTTGCTACGTCCGCCGCCTTCCGCCGGCCCTCCGCTGGCGCACCTGGCGCACCTGGCGCCGCGTTAATTACTTCTGCCGGCCTCCCGCTGGAGGGCGAGGACGCGCCGAGGGAGAGGCCCTGCCCGAGACGCCCGCATGCCGACACGAACGATGCGCGACACCTCCGACCTCGAGGCCTGGTCGACCACACGCGAGGCCCCAGGCAGGCGCGACCTCTGGCGCGCGGCTTGCCGATGCCTGCGTGCGATGGGACAGTAGCAGCGCGCGTGACCCTGACGAACGGACAGGCAACCATTCCTGCTGGCATTCGTCCCCGCTCTCTCCGTCCTCACTTCGATCGTACCGGCTGACCGCCTCGACTCGTTCGGGGTGCGGGACGCGCGGCTTCCGGCTCATGACTCGGGCCCCGGGCGGCCGTGCGGGACGAGTCGAGCGCCTCCGGAACGCCCTCGGCGAGGCGCAGCTGCTGCAAGGCCTCCCGAGGCTGGAACACGGGGTCGCTGCCACTCTCCTTGCGAGGCGGCTCCAGCCGTGGCGGCGAGGAGCCTCCAGGAGGCCCCGAAGTGACGGAAAACGCCAAGGATCGGGGATCTTCTGACCCGGGTCAATCCAGACCCAGGTCAGCAGGAAACCAAAAACTGCAATGCAGGGAAAGAAAACTGCAACGCAGGTCTTCGCAAACCCGGGTCAACCAAGATGCGCGGCCGCCTCGCGGCCACGAGCGGCTCGCTAACCCGGGTCAGCCAGAGGGGGTCTTCGCAGGATCCTGCAGGATCTGGTGCCTTGGCAGACCCCCGAATGGAGGGCTTACCAGTGTGAAACATACCCCTATCCCTATGTTTGACATCACCTCACCTCGATGCCGATCTTAAAGATTCCCTCAGTTTCTGAGGGCCTATCCCTAAGATTGTCCTCGCTTTTTGCTCGCCCATCTTGGGGATAGGGATACGTTCGAGGCTGGTTAAGGGCGGCCGTTGGCTCGACCGGCCCTCCCATGCCCGGTCCTGCCGTCCCCAGTCGGGAGCGCCCCAGAGGGGGGCGCCAGGAGGCTGCAAATCACGGCCCAGGGCACGTGCGCGGCCCCAAGGGGGGGATCAGGGGACGTGTTGAGACAATCGGGGATGGACAGACCTCCCTTTAGCAAAACGTGGTTTAGTGAGAACGACCTTGGGCCCAAACCTGGCGGGCGCAAGCCCAGAAAATGACGGCCACGGCGCCCTCTCGAGAACCGAAAACGGACAATTCACTAATCGACGTGTCACTTTGGGGGTTTCTGCCCACCCCCGAGACAAGAGGAAGGCCATGAGATCCGGAGCGATCTGCCGCCGCGCCGTTTATCCTCGACGCGCGTGGACGACGCCGACACCACGGCAGGCCCGCGGCAGGCCCTGCGTGCCGCGCCCAAGCAGACAAAAACCGGTGCCGCGGCAGACCCTCGGCAAGCCCTGCGTCCGAGGCGGAGTTTGCCCTGGTGGCCGCGGCGCCCTCTCCAAGGCGGAAGGCCGCGCGTCGGAACAAACGGCGCGGCGACATAGCATGGCCCCGGCCATGGCATCCCCCTCTACACGTCGATCGGAAGAAGTAAGCAAACATTTTTGATTTGCGGGTCGAGAGCGCACCTCTTCCGGTCGAAGCTAAGCGGGCCGCGCGAAGCCTGAATTGACAGAGAGAAGGACAGAAGGAGAGGCCTCACGTCAAGGCCAGGAGGAGGCAAAGCCTCGGGACGAGAAGTAAGCAAACATACGAAGCAGGAAGGCGGATCAAGCAGATTGCGTCCAGGCCCTCCCGGATAATGCCAGCACGCAGCAAAAAAACAGGCCGGTTCTTGAAGCAGGAAGGCACTCGAGGCAGAGTGGGACATGGGAACCCAAGTAGACCTGCTCTCAACGGCCAGCGTGTACAGGCGGACTCGATGGGACAGGGCACGCGAGAGGACACCAGACCCTCCCGAGGGCCACACTGCCGCAGGGATGTGTAGGAGGCACGTAGCGCGAGGCACAGGACACAACTGGCCATCGCTCGGACGTCCAGTCCCTGTGTTTTTGTTCGGTTTCGTGCGTGGTTTTTTCGCCAGATGATCAAGGATGCTCCTCGATGGTCCCCGCCGAAGAAAAAATGCACACGTCCGAGCGATGCCAAGACAAGGGCACCCTTGATCTGGCAGGGTCGACCTACTGATCCGGGCCAGCGAGCAGCCACCACCCCGCGGGCCGTCGTGCCGAGCCTCCGCCGGCGGGCCCCGGGGGCCGGGCCGGGGGCCGGCGCCGCGTCCTCCGCGGCCCGCAGCTGCTCGGCGCGCTCCTCGGCGAGGAGCCGGAGCCGCTCCGTGCTCGCGCTGGAGAAGCCGAGCTTCTCGGAGAGGCCCAGGATGCTCTCCTCCCGGAGGGCTCTGCCGCCAGGAGGGGCCCCATGGAAGCACCGAAGCAGGAGCCCTGCCGAGGCTCCCACAAGAGAGAGGCCGCCCCCGGGGCAGCCCAAAGGGGCAACAAGAAGGCCTGCGCAGCAGACGTCGAGCGAAGAGAGAGAGAGAGAGAGAAAAACAAAAAGAGAGAGAGAGAGAGAGAACAAAAAAAAAAAACAAAAAAAAACAGCAACAGCTGGGGTCGGGCTGGGCGACAGGGGAAATAGCAAAGGGGGGGGGGGGGCTTGCGAATCAGCTCGCGCAGCTGATTTTCCCGGCGCCTCCCGGCGCCGGGAGGCGGCCATGCATCGAGGAATGGGCCCGGCGGCGGGGCAGAAGCCAGCTGCGTGCAGCAGATTTCGTAACCCCCCCTCTTTCCCTATCCCCCCCTTTCGTCCGGCCCAATCCTCCCACGCTCGCCGCTTCCAGGGCGAGAGAGAGGGCATAGTAGGGTTGGCTCAGGCTTACGCTCCAGGAGATGCAGCGGCCCTCGCGTCTGCAGCCCGTGCGGAGCATCAGGGCAAGTTGAACACATCCCAGAAGTCTATGACACCTTGTGGCGTATCGTCATCGGGACCTCTTGCTGCTCCGAGGTTCGGAGGGTGAGGCTACCCCTGGCAGTTGATCCCCCCTCCGCCCGGCAGAGCGCTGGCGGAGTCCCTCCTCGGGGCCTCTGCGCCGTCGAGAGAGCCTGCCCTTCTCAGAAGGCTACAGCTGGTCGCTGCGACTTGACGCTGAAATCCGCCGCCCGCTGTGGCTTCGCGCAGCTTCGGGCGTTGCCGACGTGTAGCAGCAGTTTTCCAGCCTCGGGATGCCTTCTGGCAGATGCGTCTCGCCGAGAGTGTTCCAGGGATGTCCGCATTCACCCGAAAAGCCGCTGGAGACCCCAGCTATGACCTGAAAGCCAGGAATCCTCTCTCTGCGGAAAAATCACGACGGATGATTTTGAAAGAGTTTAGGACTCCCAGGGCCCATACCCAGCCACGGGGCCGTCAAACAACTTCTCAAGATGAAAAGCCAGTCCCTGGGGAAAGGTTCAGACCTCCGGGGGGGCCATGCTGTGAGAAAGAAATCGCTACGTCGGAAGTCCCGACAGATGCACGACAGGACAGGACAGGACAGGACGCGCGTCCGGCATCATGACCGGACAGGACGTACAGGGACACGACAGGACAGGACGCGAGGCCGGCATCATGAGGCGGCACGCTGGGGCTAGGGTTGGGCTGAATAATTGCCTCTGGCCACCAACTCACGGGCCTGCAACGCGATATTAGGATGACAGAACCTGGCATGAGCAGAAACATTCGGAAGTCCACATGGATTTATTGGATCGGCGTTGGTCCCCCCTCCCTGGCGCGCTCGGGGCGGCGCCAGACGCACCGCCAGGGTGGCCCAACGCCGACCCACGAAATCCGCGCGGACCTCCGACCGTGTATGTTTACTTGATTTGTTGCTTCTCGTCATCCTCCCCCCTCCCCTCCTCCTCTTACTCCGTCTACCTCTTCCTCCTTCTCCTCATCCGTCCACCAACTCCCTCTTCTGACCGCCGTCTTCCTCCGTCCTCCGTCCTCCTGCACCTGATCTTCTGTCCCCTCCTCCCTGCTCCGTCATTCGTCCGCCTCTTCCCTTCTTTTAGCCTACACGATGCGGGCAGCTCTGCTGCTAGAGAACTGGACCCTGCGTTTGATCATCCTACACATTCATCCTGCCCCATCCTCATCATCCGCCGTCCGCCTCCTCATTCTCCTCATCTTCCTCCTTCTCCTCCTCCTCCATCCACGTCCTCCCCTCCGAACTCCGTATAACTCCGCACTCCTCAACATCATCCACCACAACATCCTCCTCTTGCTCCTCCTCCGTCCTACTTCCATACCGTCCCTGCTCCGTCATCCGTCATCATCCGCTCGTGTCCTTCGAAGCTTTAAGCTGCGAACCGTTGTGCTGCTGGAGCTGGAGCCCGCGTGTCATCGTCCTCCTCTTGATCCTCACTACTACTCCTCCTCCTCCTCCGTACTCGATTGATTCGATTGCTCGCTAGAGGAGCTGGCACACAAGCACATACACCCATTGAGCGTGGGATCCTCCTCCTCCTCATCATCATCAGCATCATCAGTAATATGGTCATCATCCCTCCTCCTCCGCCTCCTCCATCTCATCTGTTCACTCCCTCTTCCTCCTCGTTCGCTTCCTCCTCCTCCTTATCCGTCTCCTCCTCCGCCTCCTCCTACTCCTCATCCTCCTCCTCCAACTCCTCTACTCCTCCTCCTCCTCCTCCTCCTTCTCCTCCTCCTTCTCCTCCTCATCCTCCGTCCACCTCCTCCGTCCACCTTCTCCGTCCACCTCCTC